GGAAATTGAAATAGACCTGTTTCAATACATTCCAAAACTGGAAACTTTTTTGACCCAATTTTGGATCAACCCTTCTGATTTCTTGGTTTTATGACTTTTGATTTGAATATTGTGAATTTATCTTATTACTTATTGCTTAGATCTCGTTGTAGTTTTTTGCTTGTTTCTATGAAAAAAAGGGAAACAAGATTGTTGGATTGATATTGTGTTATGATATTGTTTGGTTAGTTCATGGGGTTGAGTATGGTTTTGGAGCTCACGAGCATTCAACTACTGGGATTTTCGAGGTGGAACCAAAGCAATGTCCAGGTTTCACATTCAGGAAGTCTATTTTGATCGGAAGAACGGATTTGGATCCTGAAAAAGTTCGTGCATTTATGGAGAAACTTGCGGAAGAGTATTGTGGAAACACTTACCACCTGATCACAAAGAATTGCAATCACTTTTGCAATGATGTTTGTGTTCAACTGACCCGAAGATCTATCCCTAATTGGGTTAACCGTCTAGCTCGCTTCGGTAAGAAGCTACGAAAAAAGAAAATTGGCTTTTGCTCTGTTTTAGTAAAAGCTCATAACTTTAGGTTTGTATTTGCCTTTAGGTTTGTTCTGCAACTGTGTTTTGCCGGCGGAACTGAACGAGACAAAGGTGAGGCAGGTGAGATCAGAGGAGGAGAAGATTCCTGAAGCAGAAAAGAAGAAACTCCGGAGTAGATCAAGTAGATTTCCACCTAGTCCTTCGTTTTCTTCATCGGGTTCTTTGAACCGAAACAGAAGAGGGGAAAGGAGAAGACAATGTTTTTCTCCATCACCAACTGTGAGTGTCTAGCTTCTAGTCCTAGCAAAATTATACCCGACCTTTTTTATTTCGTAATTCGATTCGGTAGTAATGGTCCCAAGAAGTTGTGTTTCCGCGAAAACATGTGGCTCAAACTATAGAGTGAACAAACATTTTCTTGATGGTAATGGTATAAGGTTAAGGTCTTTACAGTGAACCAAAGCATTCAACTACTGAGCTATGAAATTATAAAGTGAAGTACTCAAGTCCATTGGGTAAGGACCGGGATAAGTTGAAGTGGAACTTTCTTAGGACACACAAGCCCATATGATTCTTCAAGATCGACATCTTCTACCTTCATTCCGTCCGGAAGCTTCCAATCGAAACGGTAAAGAAGATTGATAAGAGTCAAGTGTACCAAAGCCATACCCATTCCTATACCTGGGCACATCCTCCTCCCACTTCCAAACGGTAACAGCTCAAAGTTTAAACCTTTATAGTCAATCTCTTTATCCATAAACCTCTCCGGGATGAACGCATCTGGATCTTTCCAAACGTTTGGATTCCTATGAACAGCCCATATGTTGACATGAATCCATGTCTTCTTTGGAATGTCATAACCTGCGATCTTTATATCTTTCGAAGCCTCTCTTGGAACTAGAAGCGGCACCAGTGGATTTATCCTAAGTGTCTCTTTAATCACCATTTTCAGATACTCGAGTTGCTGTATATCTTCTTCTTTGATGTCGTCTTTGTTTTTGATCACTTCTCTCACCTCGGCTTGTGCTTTCTTCAAAACTCTCGGGTTTTTGATCAAATGAGTCATCACCCATGTCACAGTGTGTCCTGAAGTGTCTATTCCAGCGATGAGAACGTTCTGCAACAACCAAAAACACATTACTTACAAGAAGAATGAAGTTTGAATTGAGAAGTTTTTCATTACTTACCAGAAGAATTCCCTTAGTGTGGTTTCGAGTAAGTTGAAACTCTCCAAGTCCAACCTCTCCCCTTTCCATATTGAGGAGCAAGTCAATGATATCATCTTTAATAGTCTCATCTTCTAGGTGATGCTTTATCGACTGATCGAAAAATCTATCCATCGCCTTAAAAAACTTTTCACATTTGCTATGTAACCCTGTGATCCTATCGATAAAACTGCCAATAACCGGGAAGTAATCTGCTGCTGTGAAACTCCCCAACACCTCCATTATTCCTTCAATGACTTCTTCATAAGTATTCTCAAGTTTGCTCCCTTTAAGACTTATCCCAAATCCAACTCTACAAATCACACTTGCTGACAATTTCAGCAGCTTCTGGTTCAAGTTAACCTTGTTCTTCAGCGAAGCAGATTGCTTGATGAAATCGGCGAAACAAGCAACTTCTTCTTTTCGTATATCTCCAAACGATTGTACCCTTTTCGCGGTGTAGAGTTCAATAACCGTCAGTTTTCGTACTTCCCTCCAATAGTTGCTATAGGGACAAAAGGCGAGATCTTTTAAATTGTATGAAATTCTTGCAGCGTAAGTCATATAAGGTCGCGAACAACATTCTAGGTCGAACGTTTTTAAAACATCCTTCACCGTCTCTGGAGTTGACGCCACAACGGCAGATACATTTCCAAACTTTAAAGACATTAGAGATCCATATTTTCCAGATAACTTGAACATCGAACGATGAGGGTGCGATCCCAATTGGTGCAAGTTGCCAATTATAGGAAGTCTTGGTGGTCCAGGAGGTAGATTCTTCTTCGTCTTTCTTGTGTTCTTCTTTGCAATGAGTATCGATGCAAAGAAGACGATTGCAGCAATGATATACCACAAACTCATTTTGTCTCCCTACTAACAAAAATATATAAGAGAGTTTGTATAAAGTTAATTAAGTTCTAAGTGTAAGCGAAGACCATAAGACTTGCCTAGATCGAATAACTAAAGAATGGATTTTCTAATAACTAATCACAGACAGAGAGTATGATCATATACTAGATAGAT